CCTTACAAAGGACCGGGAGTGTAGGTATAGTTCTCTCCTGCAGGTGAAATTCGATTGTTTACCTTTTTATGAGTGTGCAAAGTGAAAATTCAGTTTTCCATTTTTAATCATTAGCGGTATAAAATAATGGCCATCAACTTCAAGCATTTTTTTTCAGCAAATGAAGATAGGTAATTTCTTAATTTGGAGCTAAAACTATGATAATCTACAGCGAAAAAACTTCTGCCTAGGAAGGAAAATAATTTACTTTCCTCCATAGGGAGGCGAAATTACCATTTTCCTACCTGAAAAAAAGGTAACAAATTGTCACTTTCTGACAGTCATAAGAAAATGTGTCTTTCCTGCCTTGCCTGTGCCTGTTTTATAAGTATTCTATTCTATTCTTCAAAGTCAAGTCAGGTTATTTTTTATTTATTTCCATTTTTACTCTAAAACAAATGCCAAGAACCAAGAATATCACCTTTACTTTAAATTGCTAAAGAAAGTAATTACCTATCTACATATTGCTATATTGTACTTCAAGAAAACAATTACTTAGAGTAACACCTCCCTTACTATTAACCCCTATTAAAAGTAACATTTTCATCAGTGACAACATTGAATTGATGTTACTTTAAAAAAATAATTATAGTAACACCTCTGTTACTTTAGCCACGGCCTAACCTTGCGTTCGGTATTTTGCTCAAAGTGTAGAGCGAGCTGAGCGGAGCCGTAATCACGTGACCAGCGAGCGAAGGGAGCAGTTGAACGCTGTATAAAAGTACCGGAAATTTTAATAAACAAACGCGAATGAGGCTGCACCGAGTACACTTTTTAAATAAACGAACGGTAAAGTCAAGCTCGGAGAACTCAGACCAAAATAACGAACGCACGGTAAATAAAACGCGAATATTCGCGCTTATGGAGACATGGGAATAATTTGCTCGGAAATAGCCACCAAAAAATGACACTTAAAAAATTCGCTTTCCGCGATTTCGCGTCTATGGAGACTAGGCTTAAGCCTAGTACTCATAACTGCGAAATTCGCATTTTTTTGACATTGCGTTGACAATTTGACGTTTAATACACGCATAAAACGTCAAATTGTCAACGCAATGTCAAAAAAATGCGAATTTCGCAGTTATGAGTACTAGGCTTTAAGAAGGAATACAACTATTGGTCGCGTTCACCAGCACTCAACATGTTGAGTCAGCGGCTTTGTTGAAAACAGATGAAAATCAGCTCTAGGCCAATCATCAAAACTGTCCTACCTTGTGAATTCCACATGTTGGAACAAAGCCTCTTACTAATTATACTTAACATGTTGTGTTGAGTGTTGGTGAACGCGACCAATAGTTGTATTACGCATGTTGTTTTATTCACCGTTCTGTTGGCAACGTTGTCTGACTGTTGGTTATCAGATAATTGCTGTTGGCTTGTTGTTGTGCCGTTGAGTTGATGGATAAAACAACGGGTAAGAAAACTTTTATTGAACGTTCAGACACAAACGTAGTAAATTCAAAGTTTTCACAGATCAATGCGACTTCCACTTGGTTGGTAGGTATAATTAAAAACTTTTTATTCTATTCAACTTCAATCAATCTCTTCTTGAAATCTGGATTCCATAAAACAGTCAACACTGCTAAAAACCATCTCCTTACATGGCTTGGTGTCTCCAACGCCTCCAACGGTGTAGCCATCGTAAAACGCCGATGGAAAAACCAACACTATGATCGAGCATCGACTGTTCTTTTGTCGAATTTAACAGCGCTTGGATGCTCAACGCTGCCTGCCAACGTTGCTTCAACAGTTGAATAAAACAACATGCGTATTCTTTCAAGAGTTTAGAATACTCGAGTTACTCACTCCGGTGTAAGTCGCCTCCGATTTGAAAGGAATAGATGCGTGGTGCAACAAACACTTTTCGAAAGGAATAAAGTGCGTAACGCCCCGGAGCTGTTCCGGAGCTCCTCCTAACTGTGAAAGGAATACAACTTTTACTCCCAGGATTCTACGCAAAAACGAAAATTTTTGCGTAGAAACAGAACCGAAATTCGTATACAGAGTGGTTCCGAAACCGTTCTGGATCGGTATTCTCGTCCTCTAAAACGATCACCGCTTTCTAGTTGCTCGGCACTTTTATGAATTTACATTAAAAGTGCCGAGCGACTAAAAAGCGGTGAGCGTTTTCGAGGACGAAAATACCGGCCCTGGGCTGGGATCACAACAAGTGGAATTCCACTTTCATGACGTCATCCGCGATCTATTTATCGCATACAGTACAGGCGATGATGCCGGTTGCTAGGCAACTTGACGTCACGAAAGTAGAATTCTACTTGTCGTGATCCCAGCCCTGGGCTGCGTTCAGGAATGGCTACGGCCAAGCCAAAATTGGTAGATTGCGTTCGAGTTCCGCTCCAACCTACGTGGTTCGGCACAACAGGTGGAGGGGGAAAAGTAGGTTTTGGCATTAGCATTGCCGGCCTTGAACGCACCCCTGGACTGACTGGAATCACGACGAGTAGAATTCTACTTCCATGACGTTACCCGCGACCTATTTATCGCGTACAGTACAGGCGATGATAATGGTTGCTAGGCAATTTGATGTCATGAAAGTAGAATTCTAGTAGAATTCTACTTGTCGTGATTCCAGCCAGGATTGTTTTTTGACGGGTTGGAACAAATCTTATAGGTTTGTTTCTGTTGTTCCAGTTGTTCGGAACAGCAGTTTCTACTTTGGGGGCCTCCGTTCGTGTTATGGCAATGAACTGACGATTATTATATTATGGTTCTGCCATAGTGTGGAATATTACAGCTTAGCTCAAGTTAGTGCGACACACACAAACAACATTAAGTTTTTGAGTTATTTAAGCTGTAATATTTCAGATTATGGCAGATAAACCATATAAAACGCTCACAAACGGACGCCCCAATGCAAGAAAGGCTGCTCCGAACAACAGAAACAAACAAACTCAAGCGGTTCAGAAAGTGGTGAATTTTGGAAAGTGCCACTTCTTCCCCCACTCCCACTAGCCCGACTTCAGTTGACATATGCAATATGCCATATGCCATTTCGACAGTGTTGCCAGATCTCACGATTATTCGTAAGACTACACGATTTTTATCAGAATTTCACGATTTTACAAATGAGGTGGCAATTCTCACGAATTCTCTCTGTAGTAGTACAAATCAGTAATTAAATATAATGTTTTATCGACATAAAAATCCACTAAACAATAATTTAAATTACCGCCGCTCCTGGTGCATGCGCGTCCAAGAACATTGGTTGGGTTCGGTAATTACTTCTGCGCGCAAAAACAGCAAATTTTGAAGAACGCCACGTGATCACTTATCTTTTTTTGCGTGTCAAATCACGTGACATCTGTCAAAATTTGTTCTTTTTGCTCACGTGACATCTGTCAAAATTTGTTCTTTTTGCTCGCAGATGCAATTGCCGAACCCAGCCTATAGGACTGCTTATTAATCTGAAAGTGTGAAACTGTCTGCGATGTCAGTCTCAGACCTCAACTCTTGGCGTAAAATGCAGTATCCGAATTCCTAAACGTTAAAATCACCGTTTCCAAATTTAAAATTGACGAAAAAATTGACTCACAAGCACAGCCTGAATCGCAAGAAATCCATCGAGGTCTGCGGGTGACATCCTACTATCAGTTGCCGATAGTGGTGACGTCACTCACAGACCAGCTGCCGACTCGAGAATTGGCAGACGTACGCCTTATGAGCATTCCTGCGGATAGTGATCTCAGTTGAAACGAGACTCCTTCCAGAAACACCTCAACCTTAACGCTAAAAAACGAGAATACAAGGATACAAGAGATTTAATAATAAAATGTTTATGAATGTAAAATCATGTTTACCTACTTCACTTCATCAAAAATCTATAAAAGAACATTCTTGTGCTTATTTTCTCATAATATTAAAGCAATTTTAAGTCTCACGATTTTTTTTTCACCATTTTCACGATTTTTTTTAATTTCATCTGGCAACACTGTATTTCGGCACACTTTCGAGTTTCGGCGGTCCTCGGATTAGGGTTGACAAACTATCGAAAAAAAAACTATCGATAGTGATATCGATATAATGGCTTATCTATCGATAGTAACCATCGATTGTCCTATCGATAGTTTGCTTTGGTACAATTAATCAAAAAATAAATGTATATTTTTTTGTTTAAAGAAAATAGGATTCAAAAACTCAAAATCCAACCAGTGTTGCCAGAGGTGATATAATTGTACCAGATTTGGTACCATTCGCTTTGAAAAAGTACGCTGGTACGACGTTGGCAGGTACAGTTTTCAATTTCTTTATTCTTTCTAAATTTTCAGTCTTAGCCTACTGCCTACTTAGTCTAATGTCGATGTTCTAATTAATTTGTATTTCTGTATCTAAATTCGATGTAACAATAATTTCTGATTCGTAAATAGATGGCGCCACCAATGTAACCCTCGTTTTGTGGTTCTTGGTTGACGTAGTTCGTAGTTTGTGTTAAGTTTAGGTTTCCACTTTTCATCAAATTAAAACAAAACGTGCTTTCCTATTGGATCAAAAATAATCCTCATTTTCCAGGAAACGCATGCGCATTATAAGCTGGTACATTTTTACTGAATCTGGTACAACCTATTTTGCATGTCTACCCATGATCTACACCCAAAAAATAATTACAGATTTCTCAAAACAGCTACAGATTTCTTTATATTCCCCTCAATTTACAGATGTCTTCATTTAACTTTGGCTACTTTGGAACTATCGATATTGGTACAGGGCCGAGATTCTAAAATCACGATTCGACACACGACTCGACAACGATAACGGCCTTGTCGTGTCGAAAGGTATAATTCCAATGAGATTTCTAACCTAGAATCGTCGGAAAAATCGTCTCGTTGTCGAATCGTATGTCGAATCGTGATTTTAGAATCCCCGACCAGGTCTATCGATACTATCGAAAATTTAAAAAATATCGATAGTATCGATATTCCTATCGATAGTTTGTTATCCCTATCTCGGATGTCGTTGGTTGACCCTAGAGAAGGTACAGAGGTAGCAGTGCATTTGCATTGTGGCCATTGTGCAGTGCATCCAATCGACCCTTCGATCGAAGATCCTTCATTTTGCGGTGTTCCTTGTGTAGGTCAACACGTGCATGTTTTCTCTCCGATGAAATTTCAATTCATCCTAAGAGAAAATGGCTAGCCTCAGTGAAATGTCGCGTATGTGCCGACTTTGTCTACTCAGAGATAATAAAAAAGTGAAAATTCCAATTTTTGACGATTGTGATATTAAGCTATTTGTTAAAATAAGTGCCTTGTTACCCATTAAGGTAAGTCCCCTTTTCATTCTTTATTGTTTATCAGCAATTTATTTTAATTTCTTTGTAATTTTAAACTGGTAATGGTAAAAGTTACCAATTGGGCTTTTCTAGCCCCAAGTGCCTTGGCTTGAGGCTTGACCCACCCCAAGTGATCCACCCAAGTTCCAACATGGCGTCCGTGTTGACTGTGTTTGATCGAATTTATTTCAGAAATCCTAACTATTTATTTGTATCTTCTCGTAGTGCTCTTAGAGATTGAAGTTTACCGGTAATTTTCATTTGTTCTTTCTCAGTAGTAATTTACCGGTAATTTTTCGGTTATTTTCGTAATTTTGGAAATATATTATCAATAGTAATATAACTAGTGCAATGGAAATGATTGATAATTTTTGGGAAATTTGCCCGAATGCATTTTTAGTTGAAAAAGAGCATGAGTGCACGAGTGCCTTTTTCAGTTAAAAACGCATGAGTGCAAATTTGTCGAAAATTATAAATATATTTCCATTGCACGAGTTGTATTTAATGAGAGAATTTCATAAATCAAAAATTTAAATTTTTTGTCAAATAATGTCAAAACTCCAGTTTTCGCACCAGTTAGTATGCAATTATCTGATAATTTGCACTAGTGCAAATTATCGCGTAATTACAATCTGATTAGTTCAAATCAACAATCAAAACATGTCAATTTATTGTTGGAATACCAGTTTTGACAGATGTATGAAATTCTCACGAAACAAAATAATTATGACTAAGTATACCGGGTGATTCTCAGAGGACGCTCGTCCCTGTATTTTTTTTATTTTTTAAGATTTTCATCGCATATTTTGGTAGAAGGTATAAGTCATTGGTGTGCATTGTTTCACATATTAAGTACCTTTCTGATACTTCCAGTTTCACCGGAAACGACCCCAACTTTGAAATTTTAAATGGAACACCCAGTATATTTTTAGATATTTGAATTCGCCATTTGATTCTAAATATGAAAATGTATATCGATATAATTTTTTGACATTTCTGAAACCGAAATTACCAATTCGCACTTTTCATCTAGCGTGCCATGAGTGACATTAATTGGTAGGTTTTGTACCCAAATAACTGTTAAAATTATTATTTATTTTTATTATTGGAAAATGCAACTTCTACAGCCATTTGAAATTTTCAAATGCGTAAAAGTGGATTTTTTCTTATGGAAAGGGTAGTCGCTCACGGAATCAACTATTTCATAGCATTTATTTGTTCCATAATTGTAAATATAAAGAAATTATCACAAAAGCCCTTTCGGACATAGAACGTGTCAATTTAAAAATACCCTAATCCAACATTACAAGCCAAATATAAATTGAATTGACTGTTTTGAGTTTAAAATCATAAACAAGTTAAGTCACGAGCACATTTAAGAAAAAAAAGAAAAAACAACATTTATACAATACTACACATTAAAATATAAAATATAAGAATATAAAAATACAATATAAAATAAAATACAACATGAAAATACACTATAAAATACAATACTGAGCATCAGAATACATATATTGGTTTGAACCTCATTTCAATTTTCGTTGTTCAAATTGTCCTCATACAATTCCTCCACCGAGTAGTAAGCCCTCTGAAGTAAGTGGTTTTTCAACTTATGTTTAAGGTTATCGAATTGCAAGCTTTGCCAATTTGAAGGTAGCTTGTTGAAAATTTTTATAATTGAAAATTGAACGTTTTTTTGTATGTAAGTAAAATTGCTTCTCACATTGACAAGATCAGTCCTTCCCCTTGTATCATAGCAATGCCCCCTAATGTGCTCAAGAAAAAGGTCAGGATTTTGCTTAACAAACAATGCTGCTTCCAGGATATATTGACTTGGTAATGTTAATATGTTGTGAGCCCTAAATATGGGTTTACAGCTATCTGTCTGGTACATAGCAAATATTGCTCTTATACATCTTTTTTGTGCAATAAAAACTCGAGAGACTTCGGGACTATTACCCCAGAATACAACTCCATACCTCAATCTTGATTGAATGTAAGCATGGTAAGCAGTTAATGCAACCTCATAATTTACCTCACGTGCCAGCACCCTCAGGGCATAGCAGTGCCTTGATATTTGGCCAGCCAGGCAGTCAATATGGTCACTCCAGTCCGACCGTGAATCCACCTTGACCCCCAGGAAATTGGCCGATCTTGTAGTGTTCAAAGGTATACCATCACCGCAAACAAACTGAGTGGGAGACCAATCCCGTTGATATGAGAAACGTAGTAGCTGTGTCTTCTCGACATTCAAAACCAGGTTATTTGAGTCAAACCAACCCTGAAAGGAACTCAAAGTTGTGTGAATTTTGTTACTCAATTCCTCCATTCGTTCTGCCGAAAAGACTACTGAAGTGTCATCCGCAAACTGGACCGTAAACTGATCAGTTATATTTGCAAGCTCGTTAGTATAGATAATGTACAGCAGTGGTCCAAGGATTGATCCCTGAGGTACACCTTTTTTGACCTGGCTAGAAATTGATGTTAATGTTTCCCCATTCTGTCTTTCAATAATCTGCTGCTTTCTATCAAATAGATAAGATGATATTAGTTGTAAAGGAACGCCCCTCAATCCATACCTTTCTAGTTTTGCTAGCAGCACATCATGATTAACACTGTCAAAAGCTTTAGACAAATCCAAATACATCGCCACTGTCTCGTTTCTCCCATTAAGGGACTCCAAGATTTTAGTTAGTGCCTGATAAATAGCTCTGGTGGTACTTTTTTTCCTCCTAAATCCATTCTGATATGTTGAGAGCAACTGCTCACTCTCAAAAAACGAAATAACGCGATCATATATTATCCTCTCAAATATCTTGCTAAAGTTATTCAAGAGTGCAATTGGTCGAAAATTTTTTATTTCCTGAGCGTCTCCTTTCTTATAAATTGGAATAATTTGGGCTATTTTCAGTTTATCTGGAAATACTCCTGTGACAAGCATTAAATTAATTACATGAGACAGTGGTTCAGCAATTTCATCTGCCACTGTTTTGATTAAAATGACTGGGATTTGATCTTGCCCTACTGCTTTTTTATTTTTTAATTTGGATATGACATGCTTGATCTCATTAGCATTTGTAGGTTTTAAAAATAAATTTTTTGGGTAAAAAGGTATATTTTTTGAGATGCCATCTATATTTGTATTGAGGTCAGGACATAGGTTTATATAGAAATCATTTATTTCATTTAGTATAACATTCTTTTCTTTGTTTGGGTATTTCTTGGAATAGTTTTCAAGCAACGATTCTTTTCTTTTTTCCCCGTTTCCCTGTACCCAGTTAATCAATGTCCATATTGCTCTTCCTGGGTTTTTTGAAGTTTGTATAAAGTTTATATTTTCTCTTTTTTTAGATTCTCTTATAACTAATCTTAAGATATTTGAATATTTTTTAAAAAAATGTTTTGTGATACTACCCCTTATCATTTCTTTGTACAAATTTCGTTTGTTTTTTAAAGAAATTTTAATCCCACAAGTCATCCAGTACTTAGGTTTTTTTGGTTTGGCTTTAATGGTTTTCTCAGGAAATATCAGGTTGAGGTATTGAGCCAAAATACTGCTAAAAACATGGTATGCAGTATTTACCTGTTGTTGAGAATACACTTCAAACCAATCCACCCTCTGCAATTCAAGCTTAAAGTGAGACAATCTACCATCTGAAAAAGAGCGCTTTTTGAAGGGCATGAAGTTGCACTCTGGGGCGACCGCATTCACGACCCTCAGAGTTTGAGCCTCGTGATCAGATAGAGCAGTTGCTACAACCTCTGCTTGAAATGGGTTTATAGAATTGATGAAAATATTATCTAAAAGTGATTTGGATGTATTTGTTATTCTTGTTGGCTCAAATACAGTTTGATTAAAATTAAAACTTGTTAAGAGGTCTTTAAATTTCTTTGACCTGAAGGACTGATCCAGCAAATCAATATTGAAGTCACCTGTGAGTATAGTTTTGTGACTTGAAAATTTCAACTGACAAATAGCAAGAATATCTGTAAGAATTTGAAAGAAGAGATCAATATCACCCTGCGGGGGCCTATAGATAGCAATAACCACTACTTCAGCGGACCCACTTACGATCGATGAGCATTCCAGGACTCCTTCTACACTTCTTGCCGTAATTTCGGTTTCTTCTGTTGCTTCATTATTGGAATGTACAAAAAATCGCAGAACCTCCATGTGTCGTTGCTTTCCTTGCAAAAGCGGATGTTTGCTTATACCCATTTATGTTCATACACTGGACTTCCATCTCCGTAAACCAATGTTCGGTTACCGCAACAAAGGTGGGTTGTTGATTCATTTCCTCTAATACTGCTTCAAGTTCAAGGATTTTATTTTTTAGGCATTGCATATTTTGGTGAAAAATTACATGCTCTACCTTCTTGTTTTGGCTATCTAACCTCTCAGATTGTTTTTCGGTATCTGATGGCGTTGTAGACTCAGAAAATGGTTGATGCAGATACCAACTGGCCAAAGTTCCGGATCCATTATTTTGTTTTTATTGCATTGGGGCACACCCAGTTTAAAAGAACTCATTTGTCCGTCCTTTTTTGTGTGCATTTTTTCGCAATATAGATCGTTTCCCAGTTGTTGACTATTAAGGAAATCCTTGATATTATTTACTTCCATTGAAGTTGAAAACCCAGACAAAAATATCCAATACCTTTTTTCAGCTACCTGTAGACCATTTTGTTTTTCATTTGTTCCTCTTACTGGATCAGGACGATTATGTTGCAGCATTATATTTTTATGTTTTGTTTTGTAGCTAACAAGCTTCCAATTTTCTTCTGATTGCCCAGTTGAAGTTGGAGTAGTTTCAGCAGAATTTGATTTTTGTAGTTCGCCATTATGTTTTTGCTTATCATTCTCGATGGGTTTGATGGCTAAATCAACTGCTTTGTTTACTTGAGCAAGAGTTATTTGATTCCGCTTTTCATTTTTTTTGTTTTGGTTCCCAATCCCAGTGTTTACATTATTACGACGATTGCCATTT